CAACTACTAGAGAGAAAAAATAGATCTTTGAGAAATGTACAGGTATTCCTGATGACCAAGGGCAATTTTGTCATTTCACAAATGTTCTAGAATGTTTGTTTTTATGTTATTACACCAAAAAACAAGTGGTAACAGATTTATAATAACAATACAACCAAATATTTTTTTCTTAAATGACATGTGTATCCTAAATGATATATATATATATATATATATATATATATATATATATATATATATATGTATATGTGTGTGTGTGTGTGTGCGCGCGCGCGTGTGTGTGTTTGAAATTTTCATTAAACCAAAAAATCTATTAAACAATGAATTTTAGTAATTTTAATATTATTTAAGGGTGAAATAATAATTGTATCATTAATGACCAAAATGAAAATCTAGAAGAATCCATACATGTCTTTATTTTTAAAATTGACCCATAACATTTTTATAATTGTGTTAAAATGAAGAGTTTCTATTAATTAACTTTTTACAAACAATATAAATGCTAAGCTTGTTTTGACATGTTTGTGAAAGAAAATTTTGAACAAATTTAAAATAAAATATGTTTGAATAGTTAATATTTTTGTTCCTAAAAAATACATTAAAGAATTATTGCGTAAATATATTTTTAATAATTGTTACAAAATATGATCACTAAATTTGTATCTTGATTATTAAAATAATCTTTAAAATGATGAATCAATATTTTTTAATTAAGTTGAAGATATATAAAATTATATTTACGTGACTGGAATAATGAACAATTTTAACTATTTAATAAGGAAAATTTATATAGAATATTTTCTTATATCAAATATGATAAACTATTTGACACGGAAAATTTTACAATAAAAAAAATTAATATTCAAATTTCTAAGAAATATTAAAATACAAAAAATATATATATATTGTTATTTTGTGGGGGTAATATTCAAAGCTTCTTTTACGATATGATATTAAGAGTGTAGTATCAAAAAAAATTATTAATGTAATTTATAATATAACATTATGTCAATTGTTATCGTATATAGAAATAAAATTGATTTCATGATTGTTTTTATTTTTATGGAGTTAGAAATCAATATAATAATAAATATTTTCAATATTATAATATAACATTATGATAATTGTCATTGTATATAGAAATAAATTTGATTTCATGATTGTTTTTATTTGTGGAAGTTAGAAATCAAGTTTTTAATAAATACTTTCAATATTAATACCAAAATAAATAGCAGTATTTCTATTATCGGAGACAATAATGAAATGTATCACAAAATTCACCAACAAAGCAAACTACAAACACATTATAAATAAGTTGAAGCAGTAGAGATTTGAAAGATTTTTGAATCGATCTTTATGAATTGATTGATCAATGATTAGTATTTTATCATATGGAAGCTTATGGTACAAATATTACAAAAAGAAGATGATAATATTGTAGAAAATATATACCACTTGCAAAATATATGAAGATTGATAACTTTTTCAAAGATATCAACAACTCATAATCTAATTTTTTGCAATTCTCTATTTCCTTGCTACATAGATATTTTTGGAATTCAACTTTCTCAATTTGGATTGTAAACGATGCATTTATGTCGTATGAACATTTGAAAAAGATTATTAAGTACTCCCTCAGTCCGGTATTGTTTGTCATGATTTATATTTTTAGAGTCAAACTATAAAAACATTGACTAAGATTTTAAGATGTACTTTTTCATCATATTAATATACAAAAAATTGTAATTTATAGTACTTTTCATATAGTTTTAGAATATGTAATTTTTTTGTTTAAAATATCAAATTAATGTGATCTAATTTACCATTGAAAATTAGTCAAATTGACTTTCGATAAGCGCAATATAACAAACAATTCCGTACGGAGGGAGTAATATATTGAAGTTGTTTACTTTAAAATTAATTTGTCACAGAATTATACATCATATACTTAGAAAATTTCCACACTAGATAAACTATGGATTGACCTTTATATAATAGTGAATTGCACTTTTTAGTCTTTATTTCTACTTCTTACAATCTTGAATTATGATAAATTTGTGTCATTCATTTAGAGTAAGAAGCATATTAAATATTAGATTATGAATGTTTTACAATTTATAAATAAATATTTTCTCAATTAATATCAATACATGAATTTTAAAATTAAGTTACTTTATCACCTTATTTATATTAAAATTTTGGTTATTATCGACTAGATATTGATAAAAAAAATATTATAAAACATAATTGTGAAAAAGATTTAATATTTTCATTTTAAATTTTGTTAATCAGCAAAATAGTTTTTTTTTTAAAAAAACTTAACGAAAGGTTGTACTCACTCCATTTCGATTTATATAGTGTTTATTTGACTTAAAAGGAAGTTTTTTTTTTTAAAAAAATACTTTTAAAATTGGTGGTCTAAAATAGACCATAGATGTTCATATGTGATATGACTATAAATCTTCTTACTAAGAATAAAATGTACATTTAAAAGTCAAAATGTTATTAAAAAACTAATACATCATTCTTTTGAAATTGACTACTGAGAAAAATATGTCACATAAATTAAAGTTAAAAGACATAAATTTTCATAGTTTTAAGAGTTAATTACATTATATCTCTACTCTTTTTTCAAATTACAAAAAAAAAATATTAGAATTAAAAATTTAGATTTATCAGCAGACATGCGGATACATCGGTCATGATACATTGTCATTCAGGAAACTTGCAGACACATAGCTCACAGATGAATCCGAGAGAAGAGAGCTATATTTGAGAGGAAATATGGATGTACCCGAGAGAGAAATGTATCCAAGAGACAATAGATACGTATTGAAGAGGGGATGAAGATGTATTCGAGAGATAATATATATGTATTCTAGAGGAGATAAATATGTATCTGACAGAGGAGAGAGATGTTTCTGATAGGGAATTTTGGTAATTTTTTTAAATGCTAGAAAATTTTAGAAATAATATGTGAATTTAGATGTAAAAAAATAAAAAATGTAAAGATAATTAATTATATTGAGCCCGTAACGGACCTTCAATTATCTAGTGTGTGTGTATATACATATACATACATATATATATATATATATATATATATATATCTTATAGAAGGAACCTGTAAACATTAACATCGTTGATCAATTTTGATTAATAACATATCTTTATTGTTTTTTTAAAAAATTATTATATCGGCATATTGTATTCAATGCATTGAAAAGGGCTATTTGATTTATTGATTGGTCCACAATAAATTTGGAGATAACATGAATTTGAATTCAAGAAAATACGATTTACTGTATTCTTGATAAATGATTTATATATTTGAATATATATTATTTCAACCTAAGTGCTTGAATTTTGTCAAAATTATCTGCAAAAATATAACTCTATCCTTAACTATGATTACATGTAAAGGTTGTTCTGGTGATTAGTGATTTTTGAATCGCACTTGGATATTCACTCAAACAATTTTTTAAGTAGTTTTCTTCTTTTCAATTTGTTAGATTGTGATAATTTTTGTAATTGTATTACATGTACTTTATATGAGTTAATTTGTATGGTATAACCCTATTTGGGTTGTATAATTATGCAATGATTTTTTCCTTTTTAAAGATTAGAAGCTTAATATTTAGTGCTTCAGAATAGTTGATCTGGATGCTAGCCTATAATTTTTATTGGAGATTCAATATCTCCACTATCATGTCTCTTACAAATAAGTTGGAGGTATTCCCTTTCTTGTGTGCAATTTTGTGTTTTTTTATACTTTCTATTTGAACATTTCCTACATTTTGATATGTGCCTCTCCTCTTGTCTACAACTAATTTTGCTAATTTGAGTTTGACAATTACAATCTTTAATGATAAAATAAGCAAATTATTATCTTTGAAACTAGAATTGATGATTTATGATCACATCAGAGTTATTCATGATTAAAATAAATTGTAGAATTATGAAAATGTTAACAATAATTAGATAGAGTTAGCCTTTTATAATAAAGACAAAATACATTTTTAGATTCTAATGTATATATATATGTGTGTGTATATATGTGTCTATATATATGTGTGTGTGTGTATATATATATATA